TTGATTGCCCTGGTTCAGCAGTTGTCGTTAGTTTAGATATTAAACAAATAAAAAATTTTCTCTCAAAAAATTTAGGGTAACCCAGCGTAAATAGTAACTGAAATACTTTGTAAAAGAGTAATTTGATTTTTACAGAAATTCAAGAATATGCTCAACTCACGTTTGACCAACTATGCCATAGGTATAAAGTTGAAATATTACTGAATTTACTTGATATTTTGTGGTTAGTTCACCATTTCCTATAGCGATACCCTAAAATTCAAGCGCTATAAGCGAAGCAGCAGCATTTAGCATCAGAAAAACTCACCTTAAAGTTTATCTTCAAATCCTGTTCAAACAATCCTCGCAATACTCTTCTTGTAAGAGTTGGGATATATACCCCCGCGTAAGATTCTCCGGTGATAAAGAACGGATTTTGAGCATATTTGGGATAGGCGCTGAAGAAGTCCTTCAATGCATTGTAGTTCTCATCAGCAGTCTGAAATTATGGTTATTTGGTAAATTTATGTACACAATCATGCAAGATATTATTGCTGTACTTTTAATGTTTCGGAAGCAAGAGTAGGGATTTTTTCGAAAATCCTACAAGGATTTCAGGTTCTTGAAAAAGTAAGAAGGTTAAAAGCTACAAATGCTGGTCCTTTTGTGTCTCTCCATTTGTCACAAATAATTTCAACAGAAGCACAACAAAATCATCTTTATGCATGCTTTAGAGAGATTGTTGATATTAAGGGCTATTTTTACAGTAATTGAAGTGAAATAGTTTAAATACTAACACACGTATAGTTTCTCTGTATACCAAAAACGGCAAATTCAATGCGCTTAGGTGACTATGTAGTTATTCTCATATTAGCAATTGACTACTCCTTCGCTGATTTCTGAGCGCAAGGTGACAGCGAGAAACGCTGCAGATACAGTACCCACCTGGTCGTCAGTATATGCATTATCATTTGGCTGAGTCGAATATGAGTAGCCGACGTTGTGTGGAGCCTCCAGGTACAAAACATTTGCAAACTGAAAGTAAAATAACT